TATCCAGTCTGCTCTGGTTTGGGGGTCTGGGAAGATCTACTCCTTAAGAAACTAATAGTTCATACTCAGGATTGGTTTTTGATTGGAAAAATTATGATAAACATGGATTATTAGAATTACTTTATAATTTGGAAGGGTTTCTAGAAAATAGTATACCAGATCTGGAAGTTTCTATCTGAGGAGCCTCTAGGTCATTGTGGTGTTTGTGAACTTCCATTTTAGTGTACTGTGGCCAAAGTCAAAAAGTGCAGAAAGTGAAGGTGTAACCCATCAACTTCATCTTCAGACACTTGCAAAATAGTTCCCAATTTCAGGTTTGGCTCTATGAGCAAGTGAATGTGCAGGTTGAGGGCTCAATCATTGGTTTTAAGAAGTATATGAACCTCATATCAGATGATGCAGAAGAAATTGATTTAAAACAAAGTAAAGAACAGAACTGGGTGACTGTATACTAAAAGGAGATAATATTACTCTGCTACCAAGTGTCTCTAACTAGAAATGATCAATGAAGTCATGAATTATTGAGAAGGCAGTTTTGTTTTTTTAGGTGTTTTTATTTAAGAGTATAATCCTAAAGTATTTGTTCATATTGCTTTGATTACCCTTTTGTTATTACCAGATGATAATAATGGTATGGGGTTGTTTTTATTAAAAAGTACAAATTAAAAGCAACACATCCATGACTTTGTAATGCTTTATGGTCACTTATGGTTACCTCCTTAACCTGAAGCTTCTATGTTTTTCTCTGTTCTATTAGACTCAAAGTTTGTGACCTTATCATCTTTAATTTTAAGTTTTTTCAGCAATCAGATTCATCCTCTCTGTTGAGCTAGTCTAGACTTGCATTAGATATGTGTAAACAAATGAATGTATTTGGGACATAGGCTAATTTTTGGTAGCAGAATTCTGTGGTGGATTTTGAGTAAGAAGGTCTAATAAAACAACCTCAATAATCTATTAAATTTTCTTGTGTCCTGTTTCTTAAAACTGATTCATGGCTAGGTTGTATCTATTAGGCTAGTTGCTATGTGAACTTTTACCTTACTTTTTATGGCTCAGCCTTTTAAATTCTTAATCTTGTGTGTTTATGGTTTGGGCATGTTAGCCTCGGGGAGTATGTATATGCCACACCCACATTTTTATTAATTACTTTGTGATCAACACCTTATTATCTTTGCAAATAAATTCTTAAAACAGTTATTATCAATAATGTTCAGGGGAAATAATAATACTTTCCTAATATTTTCTTTTAAAGATTAGCAGTAAATACTGGCTAATTTGGTAATTATTTTGAATTTTTATTTCTAGTTAGAAAATAGAACAATTTTATTAGAAAACTTGTAAGTACAGCTTGCATTTTGCTCTAGATACAAAAGAAATTTATAAATACAGCTTGCATTTTGCTCTAGATACAAAAGAAATTTACAAGCTAATCGTTGAATTTTGGTTGTTATAGTGATGATTTTTATAATTTACTTAAACAGACATGTCCTGTCTTAGTACATATGTGCTATCAAACACCCCAGTACCCCATGATCATTCATTTCATGAGAGAAAGTGCCAGAATTAAGTGTGACCCAGCCTTGACTTTCCAGGCAACTTTCCAGGACTATATTAATCCCCCAATATAGCTTCTCTTCAGAGTTACCTGCTAAGGTTTTAAAATGTGGATTCCCAGCTTTCAACACAGGCCTCATAATCTTTAGGGATACATTTTATAATATGCACTTTTCTTAACTTGAATGAATTCTATACACAGCCATGTTTGGGAACTACTTGAGGCTGCTAGTTCCAGACCCTAACGACAACAACAAAAACACCTCCCGTCAGTGTAGTTGACTGCATGTGGAGAACTTTATCATGGGCCAGAGGACTGTTCCATTTAACATGTACTTACTAAGTATGTTGTGTCTATATGCTATGATAATTTATGCCTATCAGTATACATTTTACCAGTAATTCCCCCAAAATGCTTTTACCTGGTTGGTATATGTGAGCCTAAATTGTGATCTTGAGTATTACAAAGATCATGCAATTCTGGATTATAGCATTGATAAACTATAATTTATAGTGATGCTTTAAAAATTCTTACTCATATGTAATTTAAGGAGCTATACTGGGTCTTTGAATTTGAAGCTGACTGCTTCTGTCTGACTCCACTATCTTCCACATGTTATATTTGTGTAACACATTTTCATTACTATCATAATTATGCTGCTAGGCAAGCTAATATGATGAAGAATTAGCACATCAAGTGGATTTAGTTTATTTTTCTGTTTTAGAAGTGAAAGGAAGATCACTGTTTAAATGTCTTTATTAAACACCTGGAGAAATTGTTTTGTGATGTATTGGTTTGTATCTATATAACAAACCATAATTTTTAGACTTCATTCTGTGTGGTCTTGAAAGTTCATACTTGGTTTTGTGCTATCACGTCACTAGGTGGAGATGTAGCATTGTTTGGTGGTGTAGCCAAAGCAAAAAGAGTGAGTCTTGAATTTTCCTCCCTTTACAGAAGTATTTTATGAGATTCACTATATCCTAAAAGAAAAAAAAAAAACAACTTTAAAAATTAATATAATTTAATTTTTTAACTTTTTATTTTCAGGATTGAAATTCAATATAACTTTAATGTCTATTTTAACACTGATTGATTATTTAAAAAAAAATTTCCTCTTATTCTAATTCCTTTCACTGTCCCTGATTATTTCATATTTTCAGTTATTCTATTTCTTTTTTATTCATCGTTGATGAATTTTTTAAATTTTATTTACTTATTTGTATGTGGTGCTGATAATTGAACCCAATGTCTTACACATGCTAGGCAAGTGCTCTACCACTGAGCCACAATCCCAGCTTCAGTTATTCTATTTCTGTATCTTTAGTTCTTCATATTGATTTCATTCTAAAGCTTAATAGAACAATCCAAATTTTTACCAAGGAGAAATAATATATAAAATTATAATTTGGTATCAATATGAGGTAAACAAAGGTAAATGAACCAAAACTTAGTCTGGAAATACCTTAATATTATCTCTGTATTATTTTAGGTTGATAATGTCAGTTTTTTTTTTTAAAGAAATAGAGAACAGGAGAGAGGATTTTTTTTTTTTTTAGAGAGAGAGAGAGAGAGAGAATTCTTCAATATTTATTTTTTAGTTTTCAGCCGACACAACATCTTTGTTTGTATGTGGTGCTGAGGATCGAACCCGGGCCGCACGCATGCCAGGCAAGCGCGCTACCGATTGAGCCACATCCTCAGCCCCAATAATGTCAGTTTTTAACATTTAAATACTGTAGAGCTTATTTTCCCCTTTCTTCTTTTTTCTTCCCTTCTTTCTCTTATTTCTTTAATTTCCAACAAGTATGTGCATTATGGATGTGTGAATATAAAAGAAGTACAAGCCTGTCTCCAAGGAGCTTATACATAGTTGGAAACATTGCAGATGTACCTGTGAAGCATTTTAATGTAATTTCAATATCTGATCTTTAAAAATTATAAAGGTGAAACTTCAAAAAAAATTTGCTTTGGCAAACAATCTGGCAGTATCTCAAATGTTTAAATGTAGAGTTGCTATATGATCCAGCATTTTTCCACTCCTAGATATATGCCCAGGAGAAATGAAAGCATGTTTATACAAAAACTTAGACATGAATGTTTACAGAAGCATTATTTATAATGGCCAAAAAGTAGAAACTCAAAATGCTTATCAACTGATGAATGGGTAAAAAATATGGTATATTTCTACAGTGCAATATTACTCAGCAATTAAACTGTGAAGTACTGATTTACACTACAACATAGATGATCCTTGAAAGCATTATATTAAGTAAAAGAAGACATAAAATGTCACACATTATCTGATTCCACTTATTTAAAGTGTCCAGAGTGGGCGAAGTATTAGAGACAAAGTAGATCCATGGTTGCGAAGGGTTAGATAGAGGTGAATGATGGCTAATGGGTGTGAGGCTTCTATTTGTAGTAATGAAAATGATGCAAACCTGACTGTGGTGATGGGTATAGAACTTGTCAAATATACTAAATACCAGCGGATTGTATGTACACTGTAAACAGGTGAATTGTATGAGAATTATAGCTCAATAGACTTTTTAAAGTAAGTTATCAAAACATTTAAAATTTATCAAACCAAGGAACATTTATTAACCATCTACATAGGCACTATACTAAGTTCTATGCAAGTTACACAACAAGTAGAAGATATGAATCCTGACCTCATATTATTTTGTTGTTGTTTCTTTTGTAAAGATTATTTCTAGTTCAAGCGAAAAAGCAATATGTCACAATGCACTTTAGCCTTCTGAATTTGTTCCCTATCTTTTGAACCTCCTGAATTCTCTCTTCCAGCTATTTCTGTAATCACCCTGATCTTCTTATCCTAAACCTAATTTTTTCCCCTTTCAAAAGTAAACTCTTGCTCCTTAGACTTGGATAAATATTAGTCCCAACCTGGCACTGTTAACTTAAAGAACATTTTAAAGTGATAGTGATATCTCCAACAACTTAAATTGTGTGACTCACAGAAACCCATCCATTCAGCAAATACTGATAGATGTTTCATTTACAAGTAACTGGCAAATCATAAGACTGTTGACATTATGATTTTTAAAATTATAACAAATGACATTTTGCTACAATTTAGTCAGATTGCATAGTATTTATAGTCTTAAGTCGTAAATTTTTATAAAAAATAACTTAGGAATGATTAAAAGTTAACTGTGTGGTGGTCATAGAGCTAGCTATATTTATTAATCTAATATTTTGACATGGTTATGGCTATTAAAACTTTAAGGAAAGAGAAATTTTGTTTTAATCCCATAATAACTTTATTAAAGTCAAAGAGACTATTTTAAAAGAGGGTAGTTGATTAATTTTAAATATGTCAGTTTAGACTGTTTATTATGCACACATACATACACACATGTACACATGCATTTGTGCCTGTCTTGAGTGCAGCAGCTAAACTTTCCTCTCTTTGCAGATGCGTATGAAACAGCCAAGATGCTGTGTGAACAGTATTACCTGGTAGCTCCAGAGCTGGAAGTTGAAGAATTCAATGGTAAAAGAAAAATACTTTTAATCTTAAATACAAAGAAGCTGACTAAAAAACTGATTATACCTGAGGTATATTTTAGTGATATCCTAAAATTATGCTATTTTTTTCTTTGATATCTTTTAAAACTTTTTCTATATTGTTGGTCAAATGGGAGTATTTTTGCAAAGTTATGTGTAATGTATTAGACTGCTAAGTTCTTGGAACAGAAGTAATCAAGGAAGAAGATGCATAAAGTTATAAATAGGTAGTTTTCAAATTAAAAACACAGCAGTGAATAAATATATGGAAAAGTGTATAACTTTACTAATCAAAGAAGTACAAACAAAAACAAATGCCACTTTTGTCTTTCAAAATAATGATGATTAAAATATTATAGTGCTTTGAGTTTATGCCCAGAAAAACACTGTCACCAACACATACATTTCTTATATAAATTAAATTGGTTTAGTCTTTCTCAAAAATGCTAACAATGTCCTTCCTCTTTGGTCCAGTAAATTAAATTAATAATAAGCATGTTTTTAGTCCAGTAAATTAAACTTCAGGAATTGGATTATAAGAAAATAGAGACATACAGAGATTTATGTACAAGAATGACCATAGAGCATTTACAATTAAGGATAAACCCAATTCCTCTCAAGGAATACCAAAAATATATTTCTCCTACAGTGAGATGAAAATGGGAAAAGACTTCACACTGCCATTGAAGAATAGTTGTCCCTACATTCTACTAGAATGTATGAAGTCAGAAATACTTTCAAAGTCTCTTGGGTTTTCTGAGAATGCTTGTGCCTGTTTTGAGTAAATACGTGACCAGAACTGAGTGCACTTGGCTTGGGTATTTATAATTAGAAACATTTTAATATTCTCTGTATTTCTTCCTAATGTCTAGGCCAAACCAGACCTAACTGTTCTTACTTATATTGGCCAAACAATAACACTTAAATCACAAGTAGTAACAAATGTCTCCTTGGTGTGCATGGCAGCCTTGCTCATTCTGCAGGCTGGAGCAGCAGGCCTGTTCTTGCTTTCTTAGAGCCAGCTGATTTGCTGACACAGCCAAATCTGTTAGACTGGGCAGCTCAGCCACCATGACGGGAGCTTTAAAACTATTTTTGACACTATCTCATGGATCATATAACCACCTTTACATCACAGTTTGAAGCCCTCTTTCCAATCATTAAGAAAAATGAATCCTGGTGTTTTTAGGTAGCCTCTAATTTTCTATTCCTGTGGATAATGTAGTTATGATTTTTATTTGTGATTTCTTGAATGCCAAAGCTCTTAGTGAACATGATTAAGGAATGTGCTTTAGCTCTAACAAGTTCTGTGTTAAGGATACAGGTCAGAAGTTGGTTCTGAACACCTTAAGTAGCACTTTCGTTGCCTTATAATGAAAGAGTATGTGTGTTTCCTACAGTAGGACAGCTGACCTGTTTTCTAGGGACAAATCACATCAAGATTCATATAGATACACATTTGGAGTTCATCTAAACTGTATAGCATGGCCTTTCAGGAAGCTTCCATTACACAACAGGTGCCTGTAACCATAGAATGATAGTGCTTGCTGCTCAGACCTTCAGAGTGAGTGAGGCTACCATTAAAGAATAATTTGTTGTTCCCTGAAAATTGAAATTATGCTGGTTTGGTGTATTATCTTTTGTTTCTGAATTTTTGGGTTACTTCCCCCCTTTCCCAATGTGACCCCTGAAAAAGTAGTAATTAGGATTAATAATTAGGATTATGTAGAACCCAGAGTGGCAACACCATCACTCATCACTATAATTCTGGATGTTGGGGACAAGTTATGGTAAATTTCCTTCATTTTTCCTTTCTGTAACACATTTAATAGGAACATTCAAAATAACAGAATTCTGGGCTGAGGTTGTGGCTTAGTGGTAGAGAGCTTGCCTAGCATGTGCGAGGCCCTGGGTTCGATCCTCAGCACCACATGAAAATAAATAAGTAAAATAAAAGATATTGTGTCCAACTATAACTAAAAAATAAATATTAAAAAAAATAACAGAATTTTGGCCAGGCGCAGTGGTACACGCCTGTAATCCTAGTGGCTCAGGAGGCTGAGGCAGGAGGATCATGAGATCAAAGCCAGCCTCGGAAAAAAAGTAAGGCACTAAGCAACTGAGTGAGACCCTGTCTCTAAATAAAATACAAAATAGAGCTGAGGATGTGGCTCAGTGGTTGAGTACCCCTGAGTTCAATCCCCCCACACACAAATAACAGAATTTTGTTTATGTTAGATCAAGTTTCAGATGTTTCTGTCTCAATTTTTGGTGCTGGGGATCAAACCCAGGGCCTTGCACATGCTAATTAAGCTTGTGCTCCACCACTGAGCCACATCACCATCATGGCTTCAGATATTTCTCACTATCACCTGTGACAATCCATGATCAGTTTCTCCGAAGTCCAGAAACATTTTCATCATATTGGTTCTCATTCTTTTGCTGTTCTGATTCAGTTGCTAAAACATTAAGCAAATAAACATTTTTACCTTACCTTTTTCCATCCATATGGTAAGGCAACATGGCTTAGGGGAAAGACGAGCTTTGTAGCTCACTAGGTAGTAGACACCCTGATTCTAACACTTAAGTAACATGAGCCTTAAGATGACTTCAGCTCTCTAATGCTCAGCTTCCTCATTGGTTAGCTTGCCTTGCATGGAGGAAGAAGAATGTCTATTTCCTCAAATATTGCACTGGGCACATACTGGATATTTAGTAAAGGGTAACTACTTGAAGTCAAGCTTGACTTTGGAAAGATAAGACTTATAGTCCCTCGTATTTCTTCACCATTTGTACATTAGACTTTCTTAACAAGAGAATGATTCATAGCTTTGGGTTTGGTGGGAAAAATAAAAATTTCATTTATATTGTATGTAATGTTTTAATAGAAAAGGAATGTGTCTATCTTAGAATCTTTAACCTCTAGTTTTCCTATATTGAATACTTTTATGGGTACTTTAAATCAAGTGGTTCCGTACAATCCAAAAGCTATCACTGGTAGCACTGTTAACATTGAGAAATTAATATTAGTAATAGTAATAGCCAACATGTATCAACTACTTACAATGTGGAAGACCCTTTCTTACCAGTTTATCACCATTATCTCAATTAATCCTTGTATTTGTCCAATGAAATATGTACTGGGTCCCTCAGAGATGGAGTACTGGGGCCCAGGTAGGTTAAGTACATATTAATATAGCTATCAAATGACAGAGTTGGGACTTGATCCCACTGTGACTTTGAACTCTACTATATGCTGTTATTAATAGCCTTATCCATTGACCTTGGGAACTGATTAGCCAGTTTTAAATACACTGCTACCTTTTCTTTTAAATGCATTTTTTCTGCTTAGCCTCCAATTCCTTTTTCATTCTTATAGGAGAACTATCTGAAAATAAAATTCCTCATGTCTGGGCTGGGGTTGTGGTTCAGTGGTGGGGCGCTTGCCTTACACATGTGAGGCACTCTGTTACATCCTCAGAACCACATAAAAATAAATAAACAAAATGAAAATATTGTGCCCATCTATAACTAAAAAAAATTTCCAAAGAATTCCTCATGTCTACATCAAGTTCTATTGGTATTTATTAAATGCTTCTTCAACTAATGGTATTTACAGCAATGACTATGTAAAATGGACACTTTATTTTTTTCTTGAGTCTTGAGCATGAAAAATCTGAACCATTTTTCCATTGACTTTTAAAAATGTACCCTTAGACAGAAAATTCATATTCTGTTTGTCTCTTATTTTAGAAAGTCAACAAACATCTATTAAGCATTCAATATTTAACAGCCACTAGACCCAGAATAAGAGAAGAGTCATGGACAGAAACATTTGACAAGGCTTTAAAAGGAAGGAAAGAAATCTAAACCATAATATTCCCAAAGAAAAGTGCAAGTAATTGAGCAGGCCTTTAGATGGTTCCCAGAGAATGCTGTTTAAACTAAAAAAAAAAAAAAAATCATACTGTAAAAGGTATTTTCATTTCCTTGAGATTTAGAATGAAAAGGTTGAATTCAGAGGCTGTTTATAAAACTAATCATGCCTTTTGGTACAGGATAGACTAAGCATTCAGACTCCATTAAAACAACAGTAAAGGAATCCAAAGAAAATCACCAAAGGAAAGTCGGGGGTTTTATTGGTGGACCACTATCTTAGTTCCTTTAGGTTGCTATGACATAAGTACCAGAGACTTAATGGCTTAAACAACAGATATTTATTTCTCATGTTCTGGAGAGTGAAAAGTTCAAGATCATGTTGCCAGTGGATTTGGTGTTTAGTGAGGGCCTACTTCATGGTTCATGGATGGCATCTCACTGTGTCTTTATATGGAGGAAGGGGTGTGGGAGCTCTCTGGGGGTCTTGTTTATAAGAGCACTGATACCATTTGTGAGGTCTCCACCTTCATGACCTAACATCTTCCAAAGTCCCCACTTCCTAATACTATCATTTTGGCAATTAGGTTTTAGTGTGTGAATTGAGGGGCATATATACTGAGTCCATGGAAACCACTAATCCTGAAAGAAGGTAACCAGGTGAAGTTATGCTGATTGATGGGACAGAGCAGAAACAACCACAAAGGAGAGGGCTACAGCAGAGGTGGGAACCAGTTTGCCAAATGTTTTCCTGGAGGAATCCTAGGAGAAGAGCTGGTGGTGCAAAGGACTAGAATGGGAAGGAAAAGCCAAAGGGTAGGTGTTAGCTGAAAGCTGGTCTAAGGAGGGAGCATAGAGGGATAATGGGGAGCAACTTGACTCTGTTGGGGCTTTGCCTGCCAACAGCCAAATAAGAGTACTTTGTTTAAGAACAACCTGGGAGCTGGGCATGGTGGCTCATGCCTATGATCCCAGTGGCTTGGGAGGCTGAGGCAGGAGGATTGCAGGCTGTAAGCAACCTAGTGAGGCTGTGTCTCAAAGAACACTGGGGATGTGACTCAGTAGTTAAGCATTCTTGAGTTCAATCCCAGTACCAATATGAGTTATGTTAATATGAGTGGTATTACTCCAAAGTAAAGCCCTCTTCATTTGCTGTCTGCTTGTCCTGAAGCCAATTGAAGTTTCTATCCAGTACACAGAGCTCCAAGTCAGCTTTCCCATGTAGGGGAGAGCCACGTGGGAGATGAACACTAACTACTTCGAATGATAAATCCAGTTCTTGATTCTTAAACAAGAACATTACAACTGTGGTGTGTCATGGTCAAAGCCAGTAGTAGCATGAGTGAAACATAAATGGCATTAAACTTATCAACTGTACTATTATTGCTAGAAGACCCTCCCCTTACCAAATTCTAAGAGAAAATTATTTCAAATCCAGAATTCTATAACTAATCCAACCTTCCAGCAGGTAAATCACAAAGATTGAGATATGTATACCTCATCCACACCTTTCTCAACAAGTGCTCTAACTCTGAGCTATATTCCCAGCCCTACACCTTTTTGAAGTAGGTTACCTGTTTAACTCAATGAAGTGTATAAGGTAGATAAAAAAGGGGGAAACATTCTAGAACTTCAATCAAAAACAATTTTAGGATGGTAGCTATGCAGCATGTTTGGAAAGCAATCAATTCTAATTTGAAAAATCTTAATAATTGATGGATACTATGCAAAAGAAGAAGCAGATGGAAGATCTTGGTGATGCAGTGATCAAAGCATGTTTCTTGTCCCGTTGCCCAAGAGGAGAGGCATTTCTAACTAGAAATGCTAGGAAAAAATCATAGCTGTGCAAGATAGACTAAGTATGAATATGAAACAACCTAAAAAGGCTAGCATGATGTTGAACGGTTGGAAGAATATAAAGAGAATCCATTTCACCTTAAGGCTGAGAGTGTTGTCCTCCAGTTGACGCAAGTCATATCATTGGGCTTGCAAGGGAAGGAAATATCATCCAGGTACATTGTTGTGGCTGCATTATAGCAGTTGACATGTATGTAGTTATAATTTGACCATAATACTGATTTTCAACTTTCTTAACCTATAGATGACATGCAGAATCGTTGTTTTAGGGCTACAGAACATAATGTAAATGTCAAACAAAAGATTACAGCAGAGGGCTGGTGTTGTGACTCAGCAGTAGAGTGCTTGCCTAGCACGTGCAAGGCCCTGGGTTCGATCCTCAGCACCACATAAAAATAAATAAATAAAATAAAAAGGTATTGTGTCCAACTACAACTAAAAAAATAAACATAAAAAGAAGATTTCAGCAGAAATAGCAAAGAGTAGCTGCCCAGGCACAGACAGGGGTAAGGTGGAAGAAGATAGAAGAACTACTTACTGCTTTTCTTCTTTATGAAATGGTAAGCCATTTCTAAACAGTACTAAATAATGTTTAAAATAACTTATCATAAAAGGGTTCAGGATTTAGAATCAAAAGCTCTTGTGAGCTGAAGATATAGCTCAGTTGGTAGAGTGCTTGCCTTGCATGAACAAGGCCCTGGGTTCAATTTCCAGCACCACAAAAAAGAAAAGAAAAAACGCGCTCGGGGCCTGGAGATATAGCTCAGTGGTAGTGTACTTGCCTAGCATGAATGAGCAAGACCTTATGTTTAATTTCCTCAAAAAAACTCTTGGGCCAGGTGTCCAATTTAAGCACCACTTCTTTTTTAAAAAATATTTTTAGTTGTAGATGGACACAAAACCTTTATTTTGTTTATTTCATTTTTTATGTGGTGCTGAGGATCAAACCCAGTGCCTCACGCATGCTAGGCAAGCGCTGTACCACTAAGCCACAACCCCAGCCTAAGCATCACTTCTATTACCATAGTCAGCCTCCTCAAAGCTTATTTGTTCACCTGTAAATAATACCACCTACCTTATGAGCCACGAGGCATTGTCATGAGTATTCAGTTGGATGATATGTGTGAAAGCTCTTCATAAATTGCCAAGAACCAAACAAATATTAGCTCTAATTTTTATTATTGTTATTTACATAACTAGAGGAGGTAGTTAGGTTGAAATTATAACATGGATGAGTACGTCTGTGTTTTTCTTGAGAAAGTTCATGCAGTTTTAATCTCTTAAGTGATTTCAGGTCATGAGGAGGAGGAAGGACTACATTTCTGAGCACCACCTCTCTACCCCACGCTGTTCTTTGTGGTTGACATAGGATTCAGTGTTCCTCAGATTTTCCTCAGAAGGTCCCTGATGTAAGGAGAAAAACTGTATGTCTCCTGGCATTTAGCTGCTAGGTACTAGTAGAGAAGTTACATGAACCTTACATTTTACTCTACAATATACCCTGTATATCATAACTTAACACAATTTAGTGCTGCTATTTAGTCTACTTCACCACCCCCTGTTCTCCTGTGGCTTTCCATTTCTCCAACTGACCATGGGTTGGTAGCAAGGGTGTCCTCCTAATTTGAAAAAATACAAAGTGATATTTGGATGACCTTACATAATGTTCAGAACATCATGACATAGATGATAATATTCCAGTTTTGCTCAACTAAATTTTGGAGTGCTTGAATGATCTGTCCAAGGTCACATAGCTGGTAAGTGAAGGAACTGGGTTTCACCCCAGGTTTGTTTGATTCTGCAGCATATGTTTTTGCTCATCACTGCCTTTAAAGGAGGAAACGTAAATTATCCTTTTATAGAGTTCTGTTTTATGTACTCAGAAAATAGAATGCAAACATCATTCTAGTTTTGGTCCTTATTCATTGACGGTTTTGTCTCTGTTTTCAGCCAAAGCACCAGACAAGCCTATTCAGGTAGTTTATGTGCCCTCACATCTGTTTCACATGCTATTTGAGTTGTTCAAGGTAAGTGGAATTTAAAAACATGGAAAGAAGTCTTCATTTTAAATTACTTTGATTCAGGGCATAATGGATTCATTAGATTAGCATAAGAAAAAGGTTTTGCATAACCATTCTAAAAATTCTATTTCTGATATCCTGTGGGTTTTATAATTTGTACACTGTGAGATGAAAAATTGCTGTGTACAGTATAGTTTTTGTGAATATTAGTACATATTGATTTTGAAACTTAATTGTACTTTAGAGACTTTACATAAAATCCATACTGTTTTTCCTTCAGTTATGAGATTAGAGATGCTTTTTAGTTTGCAAACCTGGCAAAGGCTTTATTGGTGATAGCCAGACCAAAATAAAAACATGTTTATGCTTATCTATTCTTTTGAATATTAACTGTGTTGGTGTATTAGTGGTTGTTCCAGTCTTGAGAGATCCTGTAACCCTTTTAAATATTTGAATTAATTCAGAAGATCCTCCAGAAGCAGAGAAGAAAGATGTGGCTGGGCTGAATCAAAAAGAACAAAAAACCAAACCAAACAAAATAATACAAACAGAAAAAACCCTCACCTCTTTAGACTCTATAGCCTAAGCTATTGCTTTTGTTACTTGGTAGTTAATGGCATTTACAGTGGTAGTATTACAGGCACAAGATCTTTGAGCTAAAATTTTATTTCTTCCAATGTGTAAAATACTAAAGTGAACACCTGAAAAATCAGTTATGCTGATTTGCTTCCAAAAATTAGAATGTTACTGATGTAACACTTTAAGGTGGAGATGGGCATTCAATTGTGAACTTCCTCTTCAACAGCTGTGGCTTTTTCAGAATTTCTTTTTAACAGATATTTCTTCTACTTTTTCTCAGTCAAATGATTAATTTTTGTGGAAAGCATGAATCCTTTCAGTTTTTCTCCCTTCTTTAGAGGAAAGGTGCTCTATAAATGCAGACTGATAAATAGGACTTAAAGTGCACAAATCAGCCTCTGCAGCCTCATTAGTTGTGATAAAAACATTTCTCTGGGTTGAGTTGAATGATTTAAATACCCTAAAGCAAAAAAAAAAAGGAAGGAAAGAAAAAATATTTAGTATGTTGGATATGGCTAAAACTTGATGTAAAATAAAGTGTCAGGAAATTTTTCCTTGATCTGAATACATTTAGCTAAGCTCTTTAGAGGGAAAAATAGCATATAAATCCAACTATATTTGCCCCCACAGAAGAACTTTCAGGTAACAATCTGGTGCTTGTTTCTTTTTTAAAAATTATGATTTGTGGGATTGGGGGAGTAGCTCAGTGGTACAGTGCATACTGTTAGCATGTTCAAGGCCCTGGATTCAATCTCTAGCACCAAATGAGTATATAAATAAATAAAATTGTAAATTATGAGTCATCAGTATGGTTGAAAAGAGTTTTATTATTTTAGAACTCAATGAGAGCAACAGTTGAACTATACGAAGATAGAAAAGAGGGCTACCCAGCTGTTAAAACCCTTGTTACTTTGGGTAAAGAAGACTTGTCCATTAAGGTAACTGCTTTATTTATCAGTTGATTTCAATAGTATAGAGACATTGAGAAATCAGAGGGAAGGGGAAAAACTGACATTTGTTGAGTATCTTACTTATAAATACAGTTATGTCATGATGCTTCTGTCAATGACTGCATACATATACAATGGTGCTTACATAAGATTATATTGCCTAGTCAGTTTAGTTTGTTTAAGCATGCTCTATAATGTTCATATGATGAAATCACCTAATAATGCATTTCTCAGAATGTATCTCTGTCATTAAATGACACATGACTGTACTGCACTGGATCCTTGGCTTAAGTTACCTAATTTAAGCTTCACTGAACAAGACCTCAATCCCAAGCATTTTGGATCCCACTGCACTATTATACCTCTTTTATTTTATAGTGTCCCCAAAGGAATAATATTTCTGTGGAAGTTCAAAGCCCTTATGCATTTTAGAGTACTTTAGCATATACTTTAATGAACTCATTGCCTCCTACTAAGTATAGATTGATTTCTCTTTTTTTTTAAATGTTTTCTACACTACAGATAAGTGACCAAGGTGGTGGAGTCCCGCTTAGAAAAATAGATCGTCTTTTTAACTACATGTATTCAACTGCTCCTAGACCTAGCTTGGAGCCTACAAGAGCTGCCCCTTTGGTAAGTAAACATTGAAAATGGCTTCTGAAGAAAAAGTCATTAACATGAGAGAAAGAGAAAGAAAGAGAGATAGAGAGAGAGAGAGAGAGAGAGAGAGAGAGAGAGAGAGAGAAAGAAACTGCCCATCTCTCCAGGTTGTTGAACTAGCCTCAACTAGACTGCTTCCTGTACAGCTTGGAGGAAGAAACTTTTTGCCTTGGCTTTCTTTGTGAGTCCTTTGGACTTAGACTGCTTCTCTAATTTGTCTAAGAAACACTCTGAGCTGAGTGCCTCAAATCCCAAATACAGTGAAAAAACATTTTGCTGTGTTAAGACTGCTTGTGAAGCGTCATTTACCACCTTGTGCTGTCCTAGGAGGGGTTGGAAGCTACCAGTGGGTGAGTGAGGGATCTGTGCAGGATGTATAACTGTAGTTTGGTCCTGGGTACTTTGGTGCTACATAACCATAGAGGTCCAAGTCTCCCAGAGCCTTTGAATCTCCACCATAAAATTTGTTTATATAATTAAAATGTTCAGTTATGAAAACATTAAATTTTTTCATATTAAATAACCTAAGCACAAAACATATAGGTGGTGTATGCATTTTCAGAGCCCTTTCTATTGCACTCCGGAAATAACCTTGAGCCCTATTAAGGCAGTGAGAAAAGCCTCTGGTTACCATGGTAGCAGTTAGATCCTGGTAGGGCCACACTTTCTTCCCCTGCTGAGTGTTTCTAATTGACAAACAACAATTGAACCCTTTGTCATTAAACACAGAAACATATCTATCAGTCTGCAAAATGGTTCAGGGTGTAAATTAAGTTTCATTTTAAAGTCCTACCTGATAAGCACATAAGATTATATTTTATTTGTATGAATAAAATCAAACACTTTGCATTGTTTATTTGAGACAGAATTTGTTAACTCAGCATGAGGAAAGCAGAGAGGAAGTCATTTATATAGGATTCAGGAAAAATTTATGAAAGATCAGTTTGTGAAAATTTGTGAAAGATCAAAAGCATTGCCTTGACCAGGTTCTGGTACCTACTTAAATAAATATCAAAAGAAAAAAAGGCACTACAAACAAGTCTAGAACCTTCTCCAATCATTTAAAAGGAATATGAATTGTCTATTCCAGGTCTTAAATAACATCCTGAGGGCAGCAGTTATGTCATAATTTTCTTCATGAAACTGAGGAATTGAAGCAAGAAGACTTAATATACGTACCTACTCTCTCATTGTGTAGATGAGGAAATAAAGTTAGTACCTTGCCCAAGGTCACTGAGCTTGTTAATGGTAGAGCTGGCTCTGGCTACATCTGTGTTCTTTCTAGCATAACATATGGCTTCTCCTTTTTATTTTTATTGTAGATGGACAGGATACTTTTTATTTTACTTATTTATTTTTATATGGTGCTGCTGAGGATTGAAACCAGTGCCTCATACATGCTAGGCAAGCACTCTGCCACTGAGCTACAACCCCAGCCTTGGCTTCTCTTTTTGAGGAAATATTTACTCAAGTGTCTCTCCCAGTTAGTAAACTTCTCAGCTTTAATATGGGTTCATGCATACGGACTACTAGAAAACATAATTTCCTCACTGAACAACTTAGAATTTTACATCTCTGTGCCCTTGACACATGGATTCTAGGTTGGAAGAGTGTGCACCCAACTAACTCCTATTGATGCTTTAACACTCTGGGAAACCTTCCCTGAACTTTTGCAAATCCAAGGTAGAGGCCCCTCCTCTGTGATCCTCAGGACTCTGGGCTTTCCTACTTCCTCATAGTGTTCTCAGCTGTTCCCCATTACACCTGAGGGCAAGCACTAGCCTTGCTTGAATACAGAAGTAGATTCCCTTGGGTCTCTTCCTGAAGTATACTGATTTCTTTGCTGTGGTTTCTTCTGTCATTAAGGATAGGTCACGTTCAGGGACCATATTCAGCCAGTGTGACTTAAATGATAGGTGTATTCTGTTACCCCACCCTTTCAATTAGGCCCAACAATGAGGAAGATATTGAAATGTTAGAAAATGGAAGAAATCCATGTAACTTGGTAAAATTGCTACTCTTAGTAGCCATGATACCTGCTTCCATTTCTTTAGATTTGCTATGTGTTTTGCACTGTGCCAAGACTTTACACTTATTTTATAATTTAATCCTTAAAGCAGGTAAGCTTTTTATTACATGTTTGAATGAGAAAATAGTCTTAAAGATATTGAGTTAATTTCTCAGTTGCACAAAAAAGTAGATTTCAACTTTGGTCTGAATCTGAAGCCCATGGGACTGTGACTATGGGTATATTATCCTACTGCCCCTCTTTCCTTAACCATGTTCATAGATTTAATCAGAGGTGATGGAACTGGATGGGATAGCATCTCCCTGCACCAGACACCCATGACCAACACAAAAGTTACTGAATTTAGTCTCAGTTATTCTTATTGTTCTCACCAATATCTGAGATCTTTAAAAATTACCTCTTTCTGACCATCAGGGTTCCGTGACATAGAGATACAGGAAGGTACTAAAATATTTTCTTATTTCTAAAAATATATGAACTATAATATATTAACATATTGTAGCATTTACAGAACCTTGGGAAGTAGCCTCCCAGGAAATTATTTTCTTTTCAAAGTTTTAGCCTTGTTACTGGTAGATGTGAACTCTGGTGCTATTAATTTTCACTTCACAGAGCAAGAAAATCTGATAATGGAACTTTGAAATGAATGTGGTTTAGTTTTTTCACTAAAGCAAATTCCATATCAAATTTAAAACGTGCTTAAAATCTTACTTTACAATGCCAAAAATTTAATCAAAAATTGGAACATTTCTGTTATTATCCAAACATGTGAGAAATGTTTTTGCAGGGTGAAAATAAAGAGATTTACCATAGATAAGCATGTGTGTGTGTATATATATATATATATATATATATATATATATATATATATATAAAATTGTAAAGTTTGAATCAATAATTCATTTGATTTAAATCTGAATCAGTAATTTATTTTTATCTTCTCTCAGTGGTCCTCATATGAAGCATTGTGCCTGTCTCACTGTATTAATTTTCTTTTCTTGATAGGCTGGATTTGGTTATGGTTTGCCAATTTCTCGCCTGTATGCTAGATATTTTCAGGGAGATCTAAAACTGTATTCCATGGAAGGAGTGGGTACTGATGCTGTCATTTATTTGAAGGTACTGCATATTTTGTTAGTATGATCTTCACTTTTTAATGCTATAAGTTCTAATAACTCACCAATGATGACTAGTACTATACAATCACTTCAGATTTACCTCCATTTCACATGAAAACCATGTTGTACCTTATCCTTGATTTTATGCTCAGATATAGCAAAACATTAAACATGGAGATGTTTAAGTATTAAAATATTGTTTTCAAAACCATAGTTCCAAATTTTGATTTTTTAAAATTGCATGTCAATTGAAGACCTAATTTTAAAGACAGATTTTTCAATAATTTGAAGTTGTTTTATGTTTTGCTTTAAAAATTTGCTAGTTTTCCCTAATTATAAAAATTCAATAATAATACATATAGCTCTTCTCATTTGTTGTTGGTGGTAGAATCTCTTACCTAAACTCTGAAATATTTTTTTAGTATTTCGAATAGGTAATATAGGCACATTATAAAAAATTAAAGCTACAAAAGGAAGAACTAAGGGCCCTAAGCCACCATTTCTCTTTTCCCAAAAGAAGTGCCAGTTTCTTATGGATCCTCTTAGAGTTGAGTCTGCATTTATAAACGATTAATCTTTTTCCACATAAATGAAATTTTAGCACCTTGTTTTTATTTTCCAATATATCTTATAAATCTTTCCTTATCAGCTCATATAGAAATGGCTCATTCTTTTTTCCTCTCTTAATACCTTTATTTTTAAAAATTTTTATTTTTATTTTTTTCTTTTTAGATATACATGACAGTGGAGTATATTTTGACTGATATATGGATGCTAACATACAACAAGAGGGGGGGAAATAGGAAAGACAGTGGCTCATTCTTTTTTAACTGTGGCTAGTATATGTGTCATCATAATTTAGCCATTTATTTGAAGTATTTTTCTTAGATGCCAGTGTTTCTAAACGATGTGATTGGTTGGTTTGTTTTGGTGTTGAGAATTGAACTCAGAGTCTCCTGAATGCTAAGCACACATTGAACTACATCCCCAGCCTCTAAATGATGTGATATTTGGTATTACTTGATGGCATATGTTTATAAATCTGGTAGGAATGAGACTTAATTTCTCCTTGGGCCCTTTGGGTGAACAGCTGCCTGGTAAACCATAGTCCTGGTTTAAGAACATAAGTCAAAACAATTGAATATCTGAAAGCAGTATTAGCTGAATTGAAATGTATTTTGTTCTAGTCATGTGTACTTTATTCTGACTTTAAATAACTAAACGTTTTCAATCCTTTAAAATAGCTTTAATTTTTTCCTTGCTAGTCTAAGTAAAACTGCTAAAATATAATTTTAATATAATTCCAGAAGTATACATTATAGTATCTGATGTTTTAAATAATAAAATTTGGGTTAGTATTTCATGTGAAAACAATGGCACCCTAGACCTTTGAGAGAGATATATATATATATATATATATATATATATGTATGTATTTTTTGTTTTCCAACAGGCTCTTTCAAGTGAATCATTTGAGAGGCTGCCAGTTTTTAATAAGTCTGCATGGCGCCATTACAAGACCATGCCTGAAGCTGATGACTGGAGCAATCCCAGCAGTGAACCCAGGGATGCATCAAAATACAAGGCTAAACAGTAATGTAGCACTTTGATTTCCATTGTAAAGGATCTGACTTGTCACTAGAATGTACCAGCCAGAAGATGAGAGATACTTTCCCCCACCAGATATTCTTTGAGGTTTTATCACTGGAAAAACAAAGTGACCTGAAGAGAAAGAATGATGGGAGCAGACTATTTACCTCAGAACGAAGGATAGCAAGAATTAGGTAGCCAGAGTCACTATTTCAATAGTGGTCCTCCTGTTCTAGGAAACCTTTCACTGTAGGTAGAGTTATTAGCAACAGTGAACAGGGGTTTATCCTGCCATGAATTTTATTTAAAAAGTAATAAATTTGCATTTCGTTTTCATCCCTAGAGACAGAAGAATGTTTAGAGAAATTCTATAGGTTGAAACTGAAAAAATGAAGAATTTAAAATTATCTACCAAGATAAACAAAATGTGGTATATCCACACAATGGAATATTATTTGGCCTTAAGAAGGAAGGAAATTCCCTCATGTGCTACAATATGAAAAGTCATGCTAAGGGAGATAAGCCAGACCCTTAAGGACAAATATTGTATGGTTTAACTTATATCAGGTACTTAGAGTAATCCAGTTCATACAGTCAGAAAAAAAGAATGGTATTTGCCAGAGAGTGGGAGGAAGAGGGAATGAGGAGCTGTTGTTTAATAAGTAGAGTTTCAGTTTGGGATAATAAGAAAATTCTAGATAAAGATATTGATGATGGTTGCACAAATTATTGCCAGTGAACTGTACACTTAAAAATTGTTAAGAAGGTTAAGACCTATGTTCTGTATAGTTTATCATGATAAAAAATTGAAAAAGTTGTCAGTCATAGAATAATAACTGTCATTATTTTATATTAATTAAGGAAAATAGTCCAATCTTTGGTTTTCAGATTTGTTTTTATTCTGACTACTCTTAAGCTCCAACTTTACTAACAAGAGTAAGGATTCTGTTTATTTAATTTAAAATAACCTTTTGTTAATAGAAAAGCAGCATTCATTGTAAACAATTAGAAAACATAAATGAGTGAAAAAAGCAGAAATCACTGTATTTTCACAACCCACAGATTGCCACTTGTTGCTGTCTTGTGTATGATCTTCAAGATAATTTGCTAATTGTACTATAAACATATTTTCCCAAAATGAGATCATACAATTCATACCATTTATAACCTGCTTTTGTTTTATTTAAATATCTCTAGTTTTCCATGTCAACAAAATTTCACCTCATTAAATTCTCCTGATTTGTTCAACTTGGGATCCATTTCAGCACCATAATACATCAGGGTAGTCTCAAATTGCTTTTAATCTAGAAAAATGTCCCACCTAGATTTGGTTGATTTCTTCTTTGAAATATCACTTAGTTTATTCCCCATTCCCATATTTCCTGTAAACTATAAGTTGATTGAAAGTCTCAGTGGAGTTTTGTTTTGTTTTCTAGAATACTCCATCAACGTATTGCAGAATTACATGATGAGACCCATGATATCTTTTTGATCCACCATTAGTGATGTTAAGATAGACCATAATTTAAGTGTTGACTGTCCAAAAATATTGTCATATTTTCCCTTTTTCACCAGAAAATCCTTTATGTGGTGTTATTTTGGCACTTTACAAATGTATATTTATCTATTTGCCTGATGGTTTTTACCCTAATTAATAATTTTGGCTCAATAAGGATATCCACATTCACCACTTTTATTCAACATACTACTGGAGGTCTAACCAGACATTAGGCAAGGGAAAAAGTAAAGGGCTTTGAAATTGGAAAGGAGAAGTCAAATTGTCCCAAAATCAATTATCTTATTACTGTTTGTAAAATTATGTTTTTTAAAAGAAAACTCCTTTGTCAGTTATTAACTAACATTTCCCTATAAAGTAAAGCTCTTTCTCCAACTCAGGCCATTTAGGTACCTTGAAGTATACTTCGTCCAGTGAGTACTGGTAACCATAGAAAATAATTATGAATTAAAGCAAGGGCTTTTGAATTACCACCATAACTAAATGCTCTAAGTGTTGCTTAAAATAGAGATTGTGTTCATAAACTCACTATGATATTCCCAATATTTTCTTTATAGGGACAAGATCAAGACTAATAGAACTTTCTAGAGACTGAATGCTCTGATCCTCTCTGTGAAGAAAGATTGTCTTCTCCAAGTCAACCAGAGAAATTTCTTTCACCAACTCTGAGTGTGGCACCATAGTTATTCCCAGTGCTTGAATGTGTGTTTTCTCCACACCAGCTGGACCTTTTCATGGAGCCCTTCCTGTAGTTACTTCAACCAGATCTTCCACTAAAGTAGTAACTTGAGTAATTTTTCATGGTATCTTGCTGTGATGTGCTTGGTACCTGCCACAAAAGAGCACAGAGCCTCATTAGAGCCCTCATGTCCTCATATTCTCTATCTCAATATGGTAGAGTCTGATGTCTAAAGTCTTTGCAGAATTTTGAGCTCCTTCCCCATTCCAGACATAGCAGATCCTATTATTGTTCTTTGTGACCAAATACCATTTTGTCCCAAACCTCCTGCTTTGGCCTAGGGAATCTGGAAGTGGAAGATATCAGCTGAGAGCACATTTTGATAATTCAGTCCCAGGTCCTTTCCTCTCTCATATGCATCCCTCCTTTCTCTGATTTAGACTTTGCCTTTTCTATCTAATTGTATTCTCATTATGCAGTATGATACTTTTCATGTTATTTGATATGTTGATTTTATTTTAAAATTCATTTGTATACTACCATTCCATTGATTAAAGCATTCCAAAAGTTGTGTTGGAATTTTTCACTTAACAGCTTGGTTTCAAAGATCTTAAGTGAAAAACCGCCTTCTGGCCAATATCAAGCTTCTAATGAGTGGAAAGTGGAATTTTATGCTCTGTGAAAGTATTGCCAATTTGATACTGTACCTTTATCATATTCCTTTGTTGTCTTCTAAGGAATTGGAAGTTTGTGTGTAATGCACTTATCCATAGGGAAAAGTTCTTTCTAGTTTATTTTTTTAAATCCTATAGATCTTCATAATTTTCATTGTCACTAATTTTAATTTTAGAATTATAAGCTCAATCTGATTTTCAAAATCATTATTTTTTGCTAGAAGTTGGAAGTGGAAATTAGTAGAGGACTTGGGATAAGGAAAGAGGAATGGGGTTATATTTAACCTTAGTAATAGAAGTTATCTGAGAGTCCAGATTAAAACCAGCATTTTACACAAATCTACAAGATGTTTCTCTTCACTATAATTTTTTATATATATCATGTCTGATTTCTGCCCTCTTTTATTGTCTGTATAAATGTTTTGGTCCAATTTTTAAGTATCAAATACACTGATTTAGAAGTTTTAACTTTGAAGTATTCCTCCTCCTCTAGTCATATGATAGTAACAGTGCAGTTGTCCCCACTGCCACCACAGTGGGGGATTTTTCCCTGAGTAGAGTTGTGCTCTTGCCAGCTCCATGTGGCTCGATTGCATCTCTGCCTCTCTTAGTCCCAGTGAATCTGATTTGCATTTATTTTATTATACCGTCGGAGTTCATGGCACTTCCTTCATCTTTAGAAATATCTCTTCTCTTCCATGCTTAGAAGGATCTCATTAGAGAAGTCATATACAATCATTCAGGTAAAAGAAATACCAGTGATCTTGGCCAGAGATCTGGGTCAGTGTCTTGGGAGTGGGGCTATTCCATGCAATTATTTTCTTGTCCTTTAAAAAAAACATAGCTTCCTTATAGATATTAAATAGTATATCAGTACCTTACTAGGCCTTAATTTCCAACCATTTTCCTTTACACTTTCAAGTGTGTTATCCTGTAGTAGAAAGGAGGCAACAGATTTGGGTTGTGTTACTGCCTTGTTCAGGCAGAGTTTTTATTGCTTAAGGAATGTCCATTGAATGCTATATCTTTATGACAACCACCACGTAAGAGATGGATATGGAAAATATCGTATAGAAAAAAAACGTATTACATTCCTTACACATCTTTTTCAAAAGTAAAAATTTATTTTGACGTTTTTAAGGATTTAATAATCAGTTTTTTACTAAATATACTTTGGGGATTACTCATATCCATCTGATGCCTGTAAAATCTGGGCTTCTCCTATCTTCATTTTCTTCATTAATAATTTAAATTTATACCTTAAAAACCACAAGAACTGTTTAAGGAATATCTTGTATACTTACAGTTTGTCAGCCCCTTTACCAAAGTATTTATTTATTCTTTTTGTTAGTATAAGCAGATGGTCAGATTTCTACATATAGGTTGTAATATAAATAGACATTGACCCCTTGTCCGCTGAATTCTTCCCCATTCCTCTGAAATGCCTTCTCATTTATTCTATTTTAAGTATTTGGAGACCATGTCTACTATTTGAAATGGTTCCTGGCCATAGTAGGTACTTAATAAACATTCATTGAATCAAACAATGAAACTGACAGCCATTTACCTTGGTTGGTGGGGCAATATTTTTCTAAGTTCTTAAATTATCCTTGTCTCCACATTAATAACAGTTCAGGTCAGGAGATGTGGAAATACTGAATTTCCTTTCTATAGTGCTAAGAAGTGATTTAAAATATAGAGGAATGGCAGTAAGTTGAGGTGGATCCACAGGAGTCATCTGATTCTTTCTTTGTCTCTGAATATATAATTTTGGCTCTATAATACAGGGGTTCTTTTCCTCCAAACAGTGACATGGTTTTACAGCCTTGATTCCAAAGAAATTTCACATTCAGCAGCTGGTTTGATCTTTGTGATGCCATGCGGTGGACCACACAGGACTATCTCTACTTTTCATATGAATCCCAAAGTAGTTAAATGGTTTGCCAATGTGGCTTGGTAACTGAATAGAAGAACCTAAGTTAGTAGTTGGGTCTTCTTGTTTCTGGATTAGTGCTCTGAACAATATATCAGGTAATTAGCATTATCCCTTTTGAGGAATTTCTTGGCTATATTAATCCTCAAGGGTAAGCTCTAAACCAAAAATTTTCTATAATACAAGGTAATTCCACTCAGGAGAGGCTTTCTTTTGTGTGTGTTTTCATTTTGGCATAGTTAGTTAAAGGAGGTAATCAAATGGACTTGGCAGCTTTTACCTAGAAAGACAGGCAACCTAAAGTGTATAGCTATAGGTAATTACTAGAGTTATTTGAACTTAATTCTATTTTTGAATGAAATCAGTGCTCACTGCCAGCCATTTTATAAAAAGACTCCACATTTGAGAGGTGATGCTTTTATCTTTTGGTATGCCTGGATTACAGCTTCAGTTAGATTCTCTCACATATTTATAAATATAATTCTGTTGTCATAATTATAAACAATAACTTGGATAGCTATCAGATTTTGTGGATAACATCCTTTCCCCCTGATATTTTTGGGATCATTACTTGTTGTCTCTAGCTGATGGTGCTAAGGGGTCTTAAGTCCAGATAGATTTTTTCTTCCCCTTTTGTAGATGGCCTGCTTGCTTGCCCTGGAAACATGTGATTCTTTGTTTAGTCCTTAAAATTCAATAGGTTCATTTGAATATACCTCAGAATTGATAGTTGTCCTTTGGCTTTTTCTGGTACATAGTGAGCATTATATATTGACATTTCAGGCCTTACTGCATTTTGTATTGGTTTATTCTATTCTCTTTGAGAATTTGTTGTTCTCTTGGCTCTCTATTATCTGTCCTTCACATTTATCTTTCTTTCAGTGGGTTTTACCTCCTTGTCTTCCTTCATACTGTGATTTTGTTTTTCAGAAGCCTTATTCTCCATTTCACTGACTCAGCTTTCTCTACTGATGATTTGGGGCCTTGTTATTTATAATGTGGCTTTCACTTCTGTTAAGTTTAATTTTTTTTATGTTTCTTCCCCTGGGTCATAATATTGTCCTTTTTTATTTCTTATTTCAATTCTTGGATGAACCATTTTGTCTATATTTATCATGGTTTCTGAAATCATTCTTTAGAGTGTATTTATGTGCCTTTTGCTTTATCTGTTAGACACTCTCCTGGAGTCCGTGGTATGGGGTTGTGGCTTTTATTAGTTTCATTATAGACAGCTTTTTGCTCAATTTTTGGATGTGTGTGTTGGAGAGCAGGAGCACTTATATAAACATGCATTTATTCTGCCATCCTTCCCAGTGGTCCAGGTGCTTAAACATTGACTTTGAAGATAATGTCCTTCATAATCTATATGTTAGTAAACAGAAGGAACCAATATTGCCAGCAGGAAAGCACTTAACAACTTTAATCAATACAAGATTTTTGTTTACTGTTCTGTGTGGAAAGATAACTTTTAACTCAGGTTCCTGTTCCAACAATTAGAGATATCAGTACCTTCTGGCTTGAAAAGAGGGAACATGTGACATTTTAATGAACTTAAGTTATTGGCCATTGACAATGATTAATTAGTTAATTAAATATGACAGTATGTTTCAAACTAGCATGTAATCAGAGTTGTCAAGAGAAGTATAAGCTGTTTTTATTAATAGGTTGTAGTCAACTCGTCTCACTGCGACAGTTAACCCTTCTAAGAGCTTTGTTTTGACACAGGTTTTTTTTTTTTTTTAACCTGTCTTTTAAATCAACCCATTTTTTAATGTGGTTCATTAAGAAATAAAAGGGTGTTATGTTTTCATCAGAATTTTTTTGTTATTTATGATTATACATTCAAATTGTTTGTAGATCTGGGGCCTATCCTGGAAGCACATAGTTTAATGTTTCAGAAGTACATCTGCAGGTAGATCATGGGGTAGAGTTTTATTTGGCCTCTCAGAGAACTGAAGCCTCCTTGCCTTAGTGATGAGCACACTTCACTAGAAAATCAGCAGCAAACTTTTGTCACCTTCAGAGCTCCCACATAATGATCAGGGAGTACAAGTGACAGCCTTGCTCTATATACCAAACTCCACTCAAGGCAAGGCATTCTTAAGACCAGGGCCTTTGCCCTAGTCTGTGCTATTGTAAAATGGAGAATTGAACAAGGTACCCTCAGGTAAAGGAGACTAATAAAGTGAAGGTGGCAGACAGAGGAGTCATGGGAAGAAAAAGTGTTCAATGTTCATTTAAACAATATCCAGGTTAGAAACCATGTTAAGTATGGGTACATGGCAGTGATCAAACAGAAATCCTCACTCTGTGACTCATGTTCTTGCAGAGAAGACAGTCAAGAAACAAAATAAGGTGATTTTATGGTTCAATTGGGAGATGAATGCTATGGAAAAAAATGAAATGAGAGACAGAACCAAACCTTCTCAGGGTTGCTTTCATCATAGGCAGGTGTGTTCCTCAGAGGAGGAAGTGTTGGTGATTTCTGGTTTCTCTGCTTTGTATCTGTTGATCTCCATTTGGAGAGTTCATCTTCTATGCCTGGTTCTGTGCTCAGCTCTGTGGGGGACCCTGTTGAGGCCCTGCATTGCAGTTTTAGGTAGACAAAGGGAACTGACCTGTTTCAGTCATGGTTTTTCTGACCCACAGGGAGCAGCGGTCAGGTGAAAAGAGCCAGCTTTTACAATCAAATTTCACCAAATGATGTGAGCTGCTGTGTCCAAAAACACAATTGCCACAGGTTCCAGATACGTTTTTAGAACTTCTGAAATCATTCAGTAATTGTTTAAAGCATCTGGATGCTGATGCTGCACTTAAAATAGCAGCTTGTTGAGAAAGACCCTATTTAATACTTCCAAACTCATTTTAGAAGAGGATTAAAGAAGTATCCTAGAGGCTTCTCTCTGAAGTCCCCAGGATAGCATCAGCTGTTTGCCTCCCAAAATAAGGCAATAAAAAGACACA